GAAGGAAGGAAGGAAGGAAGGAAGGAAGGAAGGAAGGAAGGAAGGAAACGGAGAAAGAAGAAAACTTACATTGCACTGAAGGTAACATGCCATCCATATTGGTTTCGCATCTCTTGAGCTTCACAGGATTACCAAACGCAATTTCTCCCAAGAAAGGCAACCTTACATTCGTTAAGTTTGTATACCAGATCTTTGTGAGCTTTGCAAGGTCCCATGGTTCCTGTCTTGAGGCAAAATTTCATGAACTTATTTAATCAGTTTTCACTGTGTGAAATACAGTGTCTTGCTACCTGTCCATCCACTTTCGCTTATGGAAGATTTTCCAGAATTACTACCCTAACTAGGAAGGAAAACCTATTAATCAACACAGAGACATGTTGGTAAAGGACCAGAAAATATGCCAGGGTTTGTTCACAGTTCAGCAGCCTATAATTCCTGCCAATCCATGAATGAGATTATAAACAGAAACTATAAACTACAAGTCATTCATTCATTCATTCATTTTTGACACAGGGTCTCACTGTGAAACCCTGGCTAGCCTTGAATTTCTGTGTAGACGGGGCTGACCTCAAATTCCCAGAGATCTGCCTGCTTCTGCCTCCTAAGCACTGGGTCTAAAGGCTTTCAGCATCACACACAACTACACCACCTTTTATGGCTGACCAAATATCTCAAGCTGGTTATAGTAGTATACACTTCCAATCCTGAGAGTAGAGGGACACAGCTATAATCCTAGTACTTGGGAGGGGGGGGGGAGAGGGGGGGGGGGGGGAGTTTGGAGAAAGCCTAGAATGTATACTAAGTTCCAGAGCAGCCTAGTGCACATGGTAGAATAACAGAAGGAAGGGCCCATCCCTGGGGGAAATGGCTCAGTGATTAAGAGCACTTGCTGTTCTTGGAGATGACTTAGGTTCAGTTCCCAGCACCGAGATGGAAGCTCTCAACCATCTGTAATCCCAGTTTCAAGGGCTCCAGCAGGCACACAAGCAAAACATTCATACTTATAAAGTAACATAAATGAATCTAAAATAAAATAAGAACAACAAAGGGACAAGTAGGACTCAGGGTAAGCGTGCTTGCCGCTAACCCCGACTACCTGTAGTTCACCCCTCAGGGCCTGCACGGTGGGAAGAGAGCAATGGCTTCCAGAAATGGTCCTCTGATCTCCACTCCTGCCCCCCCCCACAGATACAAATGTTCTAAAAACAAAAAACAACAAAAACCCCAAAACAAACAAACAAACAAACAAACAGATTCTTCTAGGGCTGGAGAGATGTCTCAGAGGTTAAGAGCACTGTCTGTTCTTCTAGAGGTCCTGAGTTCAATTCCCAGCACCCACATGGTGGCTCACAACCATCTATAATGTGATCTGATATCCTTTTCTGGAGTGCAAGTGTAGATGCAGATAGAGCACTCATACGTAAATTAAAAAAAATAATCACAAAGATGTAGTAACAAAAATGATCACAGACTTTGAGATGGCTCAGCCAGTAAAAGTGCTTGCAGCAAGATTGATGATCCAGGCTTGATCCCTAGGATCCCTAACGGATGGGGGGGAAAACCAGCTTCCTTAAATTGTCTCTGACCTCCGACATGTATGTGGTGTGGCGTGTGAACACACACACACACACACACACACACACACACACACACGCATGCATTCACATGCACAAATGAATATTTTAAATAAAAGTTATTAAAAACACAGAAATCACCTCAAAGTCTATGAATAAAGAAATACCTAGGCATCTGGAGAGGTAGCTCAGCCACTGAACTGTTTACCCAGTGTGCACAGAAGCCTGGCTTCAATTCCCACATAAAAACAGCATTTCCTATTTTTTTTTTTTTCATAGAGTTCTGTACTGTGTTAGTGGTGTGTGGTGGGGGGGGGGGTTGGAGTGTTTTGTGACTTCTTTTGTTCTTTTGTTTGTTTTTACTAACTGCCTAGGAAGTGCTTCAATTTATAATCCTCCTGCCTCAGCCTCCCAAGTGTCTGGGATTATAGGCTGTGCCACCTGATCCAGCTAAAACTACTAAAACTCCTAGAACTATACCTTCTCATAGTCCATAGTCTGAACACACAGCAACTGACACAACTAAGCAGAATGTAATGAATCGTAACTTCTCTGAGGCTCTAGCTCTGTGGCCCTGTAAGGAGCCATACTGATATCTTAGAGTATTCTTTAAAAAGGAAACTTTGCTTGACTCAAAGAAGTGAATGTCATAAACCAGAATAGAGGGATGAAAGGTAAAAGCCAGGCAGAGCCGTGTGCGCCTTTTAATCTCAGCCCGTGGGAGGCAGAGGCAGAAGTTGGAAGGCCACACTCACAGCCTGGTATATATGGCCAGTTTGTCCAGGCCAGTGAAGATTACATATTGAGATAAGAGCCTATATCTTAAAAAAAAAAAAAATCGTAATACCAGAGTGCAACTGTGTGATGTTAGCAATGCATTCAGTAGGTGTTCTCCGTATTTCTCTGTATGTGTTCTCTATATGTTCTCTGTAGTTCAGGCAGCAAGCAGGTCTCATACATCATTGTTTGCAAGCCGCACCAAAATAGGTATGCATTTTGCTACAGATGTAGGCCTTGCCAGGTGGGTAGCTGCACACGCCTTTAATCTCAGCACTCAGGAGGCAGAGGCCAGTGGATCTCCATGGGATCGAGGCCAGTCTGGTCCATAAATCAAGTTCCAAGACAACCAGGGTTACAGAGAGAAACCCTGTCTCAGAAAAACAAACCAGAGGCTGGAGAGAGGGCTCATTACCGTCTAGAAGATGGCTGCTCTTCCAGAGGACTTGGTTTCCATTCCCAGCATCCATATGGCAGCTCACAACTGCCTGTAACACTAGTTCTAGGGAATCCAGTACCCTCACACAGACATACGTGTGGTCCAGACACCAATGTACATAAAATAAAAACAATTTACTTTAAAAACAAAACAAAAACAAACAAACAGACGTAGGCCTTAAAGTTATGACAGTGTGCAGAGAGCACCAGGCTTGGAGCTCAGGATGTCACACTGAAAAGTCCATGTTGATCACCGCCTGCCCAAGAGGACAGGAAGCTGCGCTGACCCTTTGCACCAGCTAAGTACCCTTATACAGCAGGTGTCTTTAGTACATTCATACACTCTACAGATGTGCTTTAAGGTGGTGGTGGCAAGCATCCAGGACTAAGCCTAGGTCAGAAGACAGAGGCAATGAGCCTCTGTAACGATAACTACCTCAGCTCCCAACGTGAGTCTCTGCCCAAATTTCTCAGTTTCCTGGAAATGCAGCCAACGAAACCCTTTTCTCCCTGTATGCATATTTTAATTTTTCAGATTACTTCATTTTACATAGGTATTTTGCTTACATATATGTCTGTATTTCAGGCATGCCTTGTGCCCATTGGGTTCCAGAAGAGGAGCCAGCCTCTCCTGGAGAGCCTGCTGTGAGCTGCCCTGTGGGATCTGGAACCAAGTCCCTGTCCACGGGCGGCACTGCTCTTAATCCAAGAGCTATGTCCCTAGTCCCCATTTGTAAGCATTTCTTTTTTTTAAGATTTATTAATTCATTATTTTTTATTATTCATTATTATTTTCAGTGTTTTGCCTGCATGACAGAAGAGGGCACCCTATAGATGGTTTCGAACCACCAGCACTGGGTGAACTCAGGACCTTTGGAAGAACAGCCAGTGTTCTTAACCTCTGAGCCATCTCTCCAGCCCCCTTAAGTTTGTATTTATATGCATTGGAGTTCTGCCTGCTTCACACACTCAAGTCTCTCTGAAGGTGTCAGGGTATCAGATCTTGGAGCTAGACAGGTGTGAGCTGCCATGTGGGTGCTGGAAATTGAACCCGGGTCCTCTGGAAGAGCATTCAGTGCTCTTAGCCGCTGAGCCGTCTCTCCAGCTCCCTGTGAATTCTTATGAAAAGCACCTCTTGGGAGGCTGGAGAGACAGATGGATCAGCCGCTAAGAGCCACACACTGCTTTTGCAAAGCCTGGGGTTTGCTTCCTGTCATCTGCGGAAGGCAGCACATAACGGCCTAGAACGCCAGTTCCAGGGACTCCAACCCCGTCTCCTGGTACCTGCTGAAGCATAACACAAACGCCAAGAAGCACGTATAAACATAAAATAAAAGTGATTTTTTTTTTCAAGTAACTTTTTAAAAACAAAATTATATCCTTTGAAGTGCTTTCAAATACCCTAATAACTCGATGGGATCAGAAGTGTCCGGCCAGTCACAAGCTCCAGCCATGCTGCTCTAGTTTATATATCTATATGTAATAGATATAATTTATATATAACTGATGTGTGCATATATAATGTTTACATATAAAGTGTATGTGTGTGGATGTATGCACACATAACTTACACATTATAACAGCTCCCTTTCAAAACGGTTTGTACTGTGTTTCTTCTCGGCAAGCCATACGCCATGGCGAGTGTCACGGTAGTTTCTTTACATAGGAGCCTGGTGTGGTGTTTCTGACACTGCCTTCACTTTGCCTGAAAGAATAGCAGTGGCCTAATTAACGGCTCTCATTGGAATATATGTTAGGGCCAAAGAATCAAAAAGCATTTGTGTGTGGGGCGGGGAGGGGTGTGTGTGTCAGGAAGCACATCGCAAACGTTCACTGGACCTGAACCCTGAACATGAAAAGCTCAGTCAGAACAGCCACCATCTATGGAGGGAGAAAGCCGGGCGAGGGTCGCCCTGGGCGAGGTCGTAGCTGGCAGCCCGGCGCCCTGGCATGGTAGGCGGGCATCGCCGAGTCCCATCGTCTCAGCTGCGCGCCCTGGTGGCTGTGGCAGGAACAACGAGCCTGCAGCAGCGGCTGGGGGTCCTCCAACCTCCCCAGCACCCCCTCCCCCAGCACGCACTGGCCTGCCGCAGGGCCCGGCCCTTCCCGCCTGGCAGTTCCAGGCCGGGGTGCAGCAGCAAGCGCCCGCCTCGCCCTCCCGCGCCCGCGCGGCTCCCCGCGCCCCTGTACCCGGCGGGAGGTCAGCTGAGCCGGCCACCAGGGCAGCGCCTTGGGCGCTCGTGGGCCCCGCCGCGAACACACGCCTGCTTGCTCGCTCGAGCGCCTGTTTGTCTGTGCTCCTGCTTGCTCATGGCCTCCGGCTCGCCCCGCGTCACTCGCCGCGTCACTCGCGCGCATTGTGCCCGCGCTGGGCCTGCTCACCCGGCCGGCCCGCGACAGGAGTCACACGGCACGAGAGGACGGTGGCCGTGTGACTCCTGCGCCCCGGGTCCTGCGCGACAGTCGTCACTGGAGTGACAGGGGTGGGGGGAGGTGGGCACGTGGGCGGAGGAGGATTCCGGTTAGCCACCCGTTGGGGTCCCAAGCACAGGACGGCGCCGTGCCAACACCAGGGCCTTCCCAGTGTCCGTCCTCCGAACCTAAATGACTTCATAGAGCAAAGAGAACTGTGGGCAGGTTTCGTAAGTTGTGGGGGGTCAAGACAACGCCTGGGGGTCTCCGGCCCACGGTAGGAGCCTGATGAAATCCTCGTGGGGGACACGTCGATCCGGACACAGCGCTGTGAAACAGGCGGAGGGTTCCACCGAGGGAGGAGGAATGGCACCCGGGCCACCCACAGCCAGCTCAGGGACAGCACTGGGGTTAAGGACACGAATCTCTCCCTGTCACTGCTCTGTTGTTGTTGTTGATGATGTGACAGTCCAGACTGGCCTAGAACCGCTACGTAGCGCAGGCTTGCTCGCTTCAAACTTGCAGCAATTCTGTCTAAGCTTCTCAAGTGCTAGACTGGAACTACAGCAATAGCCCGCCTGCCCTGTCTACTATATTCTCCCGGGGCACACGGGCACAAACACACACACACACACACACACACACACACACACACACACACACACACCAGGGTACCAGGGTACCGTAAGGAGTGATCCACCCCTAAGCCTAGAATGTCTGAGAGAGCATTCCCGGGTGCTCCGGCCAGCGGAGCTAAGGTTATTCTCCGGGTAAAAGAGAATCCAAACCTGTGAAAAGATGGGTGAGAAAGAGAAACCAGTCCAAGCAAACAGGTGCTTGTCAAGGACTAACTTTACTGAGCAGAATCAGCTTTTATAAAGGGTTCAGGATAAGGAAGTAGGGTGGGTGAAAAGTTACAGATTCTTCTCGGCCAGGGGCCTGAAACATCTTGTGATAAGCCACGGTTCTGTGAGCACATCTCTGCTGTTGCCAAGCAGTATGTTTACCGCAGGTAAGGAAACAGGCAAGTTGAGGCAGGTTGGTGAGTTTCTACAGGTGGTCTCAGACATCTCCAAGCAGTATGTTTACTGCAGGTAAGGGAACAGGCATCTCCAAGCAGTATGTTTACTGCAGGTAAGGGAACAGGCATCTCCAAGCAGTATGTTTACTGCAGGTAAGGGAACAGGCAAATTGAGGCAAGTTGGTAAGCTTCCATAGGTGGTCTCTGAAGTTGGCGAGTTCCCTCAGGTGGTCCCTGACACCCAGGCTTCAGCCATTATCCAAAAAGAAGAAGAAAAAGTAACAGGAGGGAATGTGTGACAAGCCGCCTGAGGGAAGCTCCTCAGGGACTGCCAAGCAGGCTTGTCTTTAGAAGGTGCTTCTGCACCTACAAGAAACTAGACGTTAAAGAAGCTTGACTCATCCGGATCTGTAGCCCAAGTGGGAAATGGCTACCAAGGGGTGGAGCCCCGATGGATTATGGGAGCGATGCAGCACAGTTCATCCCAACTTCATTTTAATTAATGTAGAATGGAGACCACAGTGTACCCACCAACCTGAGTTTGGTTCCAAGCACCCACATGGTGGCTCACAGCCATCTTGGGGATGTGGCTCCCTCTTCTGAACCCCAAAGGCATCAGGCATGAATGTGGTACACAAACATACATATAGGCTTGACGGAAACTCGGTAGAGACCCAAATGTAGAACAGTCAGCTCAACAGCTTCGGGGTTTCTGGCTCCCAGAAAATAAGGCAGACCTAGGAAATAGTTCAGTTGTTAAAGTGCTGGTCTAGCAAGCAAGAGTCTCAGCACACACAGGAAGGAGGGACAGGAGGATCAGAAACCTGAGGTTATTGAAAAAAAAATACAAAGCAAGAGTAGACCAAGCTATGTGAGACCCTGTCTCAATAACGATGATGTTCATTGTTTTAATCTGCTAATTGTTGGGGTAATTATTATACAGCAGATAATACTGCATATAGCATTGTCTTATTGTGAGAATATCCATCATAGAAGAAAATACACTGTTTATTTTTAAACTTACATGTATTAATCTCCTCTCTCTGTCTTTGTCTCTCTCTCTCTGTGTGTATACATGTGTGTGTGTGTGTGTGTGTGTGTACGCCCATGCTATGGCATGAGTGTGCTAGTCAGAGGACAGCTTGGAAGAACCAGTTCTCTCCTTCCTCACTACTTGGATCCTGAGAGCTGATCTCAGGTCCTTAGGCTTGACCACAAGCATTTATGCCTGAGCCATCTCACCAGCCCATCCTCATCTTTTTTTTTTTTTAAGATTTATTTATTATTTATACAACATTCTGCCTGCACACCAGATCTTACTATAGATGGTTATGAGCCACCATGTGGTTGCTGGGAATTGAACTCAGGACCTTTGGAAGAACAGTGAGTGTTCTTAACTTCTGAGCCATCTCTCCAGCCCCCATCCTCATCTTATAATCAAGATGAATACTAAACGCTCTGCTGGCCGGGGAGAGAGCATGATCACAAAGGCGGTTTTCCCAGGTTGAGGCTTCTCTGTTGCACTCTGGACATTCAGACCCGAGCAACTTCCCAAATGTGAGATTCTAACCGCATTGTTTATGGTAGTGGGGAACTATAGTCACATTTTCACCTAAATTAGAGGATGAGGAACCGAATGCATAGAAACCACATTTTTACAGGCATTTAAACTAAGGAAGTCTTGCAAATGCTCGTCCAGAGCCACTTATAATCCTTAAATGTTGTCAAACAGTATATAACCCCACACACACACACACACAGCTACGGGAGGAATACAACTAAACATTCAAGGAGGAGGAAGAAGACTGTCCCGTAAAGATTTACAAACAAACAAAAAAAAACCTATTTTCTGAATTTTCTTTGGAAATACGAAATCTGGGCTGGCCCGATATCTCCGTGGAGAAAAGCATCTGTTGCTGGCAGCAGACCTGGAGTCTGTTTCCAGGACAATGGCTGATGACCATCCGTACTTCCAGTTCCAGAAGATCTGCTGCCCTCTTCTGGCTGCGGCAGGCTTGCATATACATGGTTCGCAGGCATGCATGAGGTAAAAATACCCAAACGTAAAATAAAAATTAAAGTAAATCATAAGGGCCGGACAGATGGCTCTACAGTTAAGAGCACTGACTGCTCTATCAAAGGACCCTGTACGCTTAGATTTTTCAGCAAACCAACTTTATTAATGGTTCTTAACCACCTTTACCTTGTTTCCTTAGGTGTGAGATTAGAAGGGAAAGGGGCTGTAGATCTCTTTTGTCTACTTCCTGCTGAATAGGGTCAATGGGTCTTTAGGGGATTACCAGACTCACTCATCAGCAGTCCAGTCCAAAGTCCCATACCAAGCAGCAACAGGAATGAGCAGGACAAGTCAGCAAAAGCCTCAAGACTCAGTTGGAACGTTCTCTGGGACCTTTCTCTCTGAGAAGCCCAAGGGTCAAAGCAGGAAGATTGGCACAGCCATGTCCATCCAAAAATGAGTGATCCCTCATTCTTTATGTGAGCCTCTGTATATCTCCTCTCCTCAGAGTCCATCCATGGATCTTCTCGGCTGGCCGAACAAGAGAGCTCACAGCAAGACATCGAGTGCCCTCTCACAAGCCAGCCTCCAGCAACACATCACATGACAAAACTGAGTCTTGAGGGAAACCAGAAACCCCCATTTCAGGACCCAGGTGTGAATCCCAGCTACCACACCGACACTCGTGGCTATGTCTGTAGCTGCAGTCCCAAAGAGGTCAGATGCCCTCATCTGACCCCAGCAGACACTATGTGAGCATGGTGTACAAACGTACATACAGGCAAGGAAAACACCCCGTACACAAAAAACAAAGAAAAATACTTTTTTAAAAAGGAAGAGAAGGGAAGGAAATACCAACTTCAGGAGGGGGGGAGGGGATGTTTATAAATAAGGACAGCAAGAAAAGATGACAAACCAGAACAAAATGTAATGAATCCCATTATGCGTGTGCTAACTTTAAATAACCAAGTTCTACCTCTCTCTCGCTTCTCCTCCTCTTCCTCCCTCCTCTTTCTGCATGTTTGTCTGTGCTCATCTTCACCCATCACTCTCCCTGTTTTGCTAGTGCTAATGCCATTATTTTTGTTGTTTAAGCGAGTGCTGCTGCCACCTAGTGTTAAAATGAAGTTACAAAGAGGAATGCAGAAGAGAAACGAGTGTCCAACGAAAACAACACTCAGTAACTAAGATTAGAATTTACCCTTCGTTTGTTTGTTTTCCAGACAGGGTTTCTCTGTGTAGCCTTGAATGTCCTAGACTCACTCACTCAGGCTGGCCTTAAACTCCCAGAGATCTGCCTGCCTCTGCCTCTGCCTCCCCTGAGATCAAAGGCCTGCACCGCTACGCCCGGCACACATTTACCGTGTTTTAAATGTTGCTCAAGATACTGCACACACTGACTCATTTGGTTATAACGTAATTGATGGCCTTAATAATGTTACGGTGTTTTAATATTTCTTTGCATTCTTTTTAAGTGTGTGTGTGTGTGTGTGTGTGTGTGTGTGTGTGTGATGCAATTTAAGGTGCCCGAGTCATCAGGCCCCTTGAGTTGGACTTAATGGTGAGCTACCCAATGGGGACACTGGGAATGCTGCCCTCTGCAAGAGCATTCATTTCATTATGTGTTCTTTGTTTTGTTTTGTTTTGTTCGAGACAGGGTTTCTCTGTGTAGCCTTGGCTATCCTGGACTCACTTTGTAGACCAGGCTGGCCTCAAACTCACAGAGATCTGCCTGCCTGTCATTGAACTCACAAAGATCCACCTACTTCTGCCTCCCAAGTGCTGGGCCTAAAGGTGTGTGCCATTAGGCCCAGCTCAGTAAATCTTATTTTTAAAATTACTTTAATAATCTCTCCT